GCGGCTTTCAATTTTGGTGTATTTGAGGCTTTCATGTATTTTGGTTTGATTGAAAAAATTGCGGTTTGCAATCCGCATCTGCAAACATGTTGTTTCATAAAATTTGTAACTTCCGCAATCTGTACTACTTCAACAATCCTGCCAAAATATCCTGTACAATGTAACAACAAATCAACCAGAAACATTTCCTTATAGATAGTGTAGTTGTGGTAAAAAGTGTTCTTAAACGTGTTCAAGAGGTTGTATATACATATATTGCCCTAAGTGCTTGCAGTAGTGCTTTTTGAATGAATTGTTTTGTTGTTTAAGAAGTCAAGCTGGGTTTTAATTTTAAAAACTTATTCATATAAAACTTGCTAAATATTAGCATTTTGCATGCTATTTGCAATCTAAATAAATTCTGACCGTGCTTGCAGAAAAGTAGTATTGTCTATAAATAGCTTTGTTCTTAGCTTAGTCAAGATTGATTTGACAAACTTATGCTTATTAGACTTGCTATTAAAATCTGTTCCATAAATTCATCTGAAAATTGTCTACAAAACCAGTCAACAAAAGTGCATGGGCCATTCAATTAGCATGTCCCTGTGGAGCCAACTTGGCGGTTGGCACCACTTAGGCACAATTTTTTTCCTCAATTTGTAACCAATGTTTTATGCTTTGATCATAGTGTAAAAACAGAGACTTTTTTTAGTCTCTCTCTCTAGTTTATTTTTGAGCTCTATAAGTAGACCAGCAAAGTATCATGGATACCGGCATTATCATACTAAAGATATTGATTTAAATCTGGATTAGATGAGATTAAAAATTAACTGATTCTTAAAAATCTTTGGTTTGATACTATGCTCACCACAATGATGTCACTCATGTGATAGGGATTGTTGGTGATACTACTGAAGGTACCGTCAACCGGGGCAACTCGGGACTGGTGGGGCAACTCGGGACGCACCTCTGACACGTTGTAAAACAGTCATAGTAGCGAAACTAATTGGAATATTGCTAAACTAAATATAGTGGCCTAAACAACAACATTTTCCTATCTATGTAGTATAAAGGAAGTCGAAAAATACGACATATACTAGCTTTGAAAAATTCCTGAAAAAAATGGTGAAAAATGCTATTTTGAAAAGTTACTTCTGCTAAGGTCTGTAGCAAAAAAAATATTTGCCGTATTAAAAAATTTTACTTACATAAAAGTTGCACCCAGGTGTCGGCTTGAAAACGTAATTGACAGATTTTGCCTATCTCATTAAAAAAAAAATGGCGGCCATTTCCGCACGGCGGGGCTACTCGGGACACCCCCCCGGGGCTATTCGGGACACCCCGGAAAGCACATTTATAGTAGAACCTCAGTTAACAAAGGCTCCAGTTAAGAAAAAAATTGATTAAAAACAAAGAATATTGATTACATTTACCTCGCTGAGCGAAAAAAAAAGTTCACTTATCGTCTCACAAATTACAAGCCATCCTGTAAGCTTACAGATACAGAAAAAATGCTATGATGCTGCTGATATGAAGCTTGCAGTGGACAAGGTTGTTGTAAATGCTCAATGGCATGTTCATGGATACCATGATATCCCATCAATAATACAGTAATATCCCATCAATAATACGGTACCGTCAACTGGGTGATTCAGCCATGTTCATAATGATGGCCAAAGTGGGGGTAATAAACGGTCATAAACAGTGGCCAAAGTCACTCAGGCGTTTATGACCTGGTTTACAACCCTGGCGTTTATGACCCTGTCGTTTTTAACCCTGACGTTTACACCCCGCATTTACGACCCCAGCATGAATCAAAAACACAGCCAAAGTCAATTAATGTTTATGGTAATATCATATCAATGAAGGAAAAACTAGTAAAAGTCACAGAAAATGTCTTTATTCTACCTCTACATTGTCTACAATGAAAGAGGAGGACTTCAGAGTACTGTTAGTAATGGATGAGTACGCTCTGCATGCTTCAAATATTTTAAAATGAAGTTTTATTCCCAGTGTCCCGAGTAGCCCCGTTCGATGGGGCTACTCGGGACACTCTTTTTTTGCTTCTGGCACCTTACGAATAGCATATGGAATTTTTTGAAGATGCCATTCGATAGCCCTCGCAAAGAGCTATAAAATGAGCCTAAACTTGTTTATGAAATGTTTCATCGTAAGAAGTTATTAACAAAAAACGCTCAAAACTGTCCCGAGTAGCCCCGGTTGACGGTATGCTTGGTCAGGGTTGCCAGATGGAGCAGGAGAAAAAGGCCAATTTAGTTCATAAAACAAGCCAAAAAAATTAAGAAAATTTGAAAATTTCAGGTAGTTGAAAGCTTGAAACCATTTACAGTGCACAAATTTACTCTTTAGTGTCAGAGATAAGAAATTTCTTCAAGTTTACTAAATTTACAATCTGTCAATGCCAGAAAAGGCTCCAGCCTGAGGCAAATTGGCATGTTACTTGTTAATCATAAATAAAACCTTATGGTACTTGTCAAAACCAGGATTTGTTGGATTTGTTGGATTTGATTGCCACATAACTACTAAAGCGCTTTTTGTTTGCGGTAGAAAATTGTGGCTCAGTTTTCTTAACAAAATATACTGTCAAAACGTGGTAATAAGGGACCGTTTTGAAAGTTTTTTGTTGATAAATTCTTACCATGAAACATTTTAGAAATGAGTTTGGGCTCATTTTAAAGCTCTTTGCAAGGGCTATCGAATGGCATCTTAAAAAATTCCATATGCATATGCGAGGCGCCAGACGCAAAATAAAAGCGTCCCAAGTTACCCCTTGGAATGGGGTAATCCGGGACACTTGCAATGAAACTCAATTTAAAATGTTTGAAGCATGCAGAGTGTACTCATCCATTACTAAAAAGTATTCTGAAGTCCTCCTCTTTCTTTGTAGATGATGTAGATGTTAAATAAATAGCATTTTCTGTGATTTTTAGTTGTTTTTCCTTTATTGATATGATATTACCATATTCATTAATTACTGTATTATTGATGTAATATTACTGTATCCATGAACATGCCATTGAGCATTTACAACGACCTTGTCCACTGCAAGCTTTATATCAGCATCTATATATTATATGTATTTCTTCTGTATCTGTAAGCTTACAGGACGGCTTGTAATTTCACACCATTTTAATTGGGTTGAGTGAATTTACTATAAAAAATATTGTAAAAACATACCTGAAACAGAAAGGAATGTTTTAGTGACACTATAATATGTTTTGGAGAAATAAATCATACTTTAGGTCAATTACTTTTTATTCTATGATGCCCGGTGCACAATTCTATACCTATATGATTGACATGACAATGCACAGCCATAATTACCGACTTGTATCGACACGGCGATGCACTGCCATAATTATTGACTTGTATAGACATTTCATGACATTCTATGCACAATTCTGTGATACCAATGATGCACTAATTTTTTGATAAGTGAAATTTTTTTCACTGAGCGAGGTAAATGTAATCAAAATTCTTTGTTGTTAATCAATTTTTTTGTTAACTGGAGCATTTGCCAACGGAGGTTCTACTGTAAATGAGTTTTTAAGCGTGACCCTTATTATCCCGGGGGGGTGGGTGTCCTTTATTGCCCCGTCGCCATGGCTGCCATTTTCTGGGAATGAGATAGGCAAATTCTCATTTTTAAGCCGACAACTGTGTGCAACTTTTATGTAAGTAAATTTTTTTGATATGATAAAAATTCTTTGCCTCCAGACCTTAGTACAGGTACTCTTCCAAAATCTCACTTTTCAAATTTTTTTCAGCGATTATTTAGAGATAGTAAATGTATGATTTCTTAACTATCTTTATACTAAATAATAAATAGTAAAAATGTTGAAGTTTACGCCACTATTTTTAGTTTTGCAATATTTTGATTAGTTTAGCTACTACAACATTTCTACGAAATGCAGGACGTGCGTCCCTATTTACCCCGCTTGTCCCTTATTACCCCATTTGACGGTATTGTTTTGTTTTAAAGTTTGCAACATAAGTGATGTGGCAAAGTTAGTGGCGTTGAGGGGAGCATATTTATATGTAGAAGATGAAACTTGATTTATTGCTAGCTACTTTCTGCCGTTGGAAGATGATTTAGTTGCTGCAAGATCAATGTGGCTATTAAGTCAATTCGATATGTTTATCAAAAACTTTCAAATGCCAACAAAAATATTATCTTGCCTAATATAACTAGGAGTGGAGTACTTTATTGAATTAAACACAAGTGTGCCTTCATAGTCTGTGGTAATTTACTAAAAAAATCATTTATCATGACATTTCATAATGAATGACTAAAATACTTATTCAGTTAGGTGAAGTCAAATTAGCCATTAAAGAAATTGTAAGGAGTGTAGGAAGGATTAAAATAATCCAAAGTGAAATTTTGTAGTGCCTCATACTAAGAGGCTAAATGTATAGCAGAACAGAGCTGTAGCCACATAATTTACTAATGAATGGACTCCTCTTGAGAATAGACAACTACATCCATTCTCAGCTCTGACACAGATTCAGAGCTGTGAATCTGTTGCCCACAAAAGGGGGCAACAGATTCAAACTAGTCAAGATTGATTATTTTGAGGAGCTTACCCACCATTTTCAAAGCCACAATATTACCACCAGATAGATTACCTACTACCTAATTATTAACAAAAGTGCACAATTGCACCACAAGATTAAAAATTATTAAAAAATTTGTCACTTTGATTTATCAAGGCATAAAATTTCATTCACAAGTAGGAAAATTCCAATCCTTGATTTGGTCATGCTACTGTCCTTCTGGAGTCCTGCCCAAATCTTTAATGCACAAACATTTTTGTTAATGGTCTTGTGGTTGCAGTCATTTGAGACATCTTGCCACCATCAACAAAAATATGATGCATCTTTGACAAAAATAAAAAGATTGTGCTTTATAACGCTCAATTGCCTTCAAAATGAAGCTAAATTATTTTCTTTTTTATATGGTAAACATGGTGATATTATGCACATCTAGTTACAATTTGAATAATCACTTGCATGTTTTAGAAAATGCATTTGCAGCCCAAGAGCTGCACTCAAGTTGTCCAATTTGAGAAACACAAGGTTCCAAAGAGGCAGTTACAGCTTGCAGAGTAGATTTTTTCCTCACCAAAGCAGAGGTAGAGAGTATAATAGTAAATTTATTGTTTTCAAATTGCCTAGGAATGCTGACTATTCTGATGATGAAATTCTATTTGTTTGTAGAATTCATTTTAAAATTAATGTCAATAGACCTAAATCTAACTTATGGTTTGAATTTACCACAAACTATCCAGGTAAAATAGAAATTAACTGATCAGCTCCTGATTTTCTGCATCATGAATTTTGATGGATCTCCAAGTTCTTCCATTAGTGCATTACTTGTAAGTATGTTTAAATTATAAGCATATAGGTAAATATTTTGTATAAAAATGCAGTTGATAGCAATGATAATTATTTTTACCTGTTCTATCATGCTCAATTCTTAACTAGTAAACTGATTTCTGATTTGGATGTGTCTGTTCTCTATTAATGATTTTATATTTAGCTTCAAAACAAAATTGTTGGCAAGAATCTCTCAATTAAAGAAATAGATTTTGTAACAATCTTGAAACAAGGGGGCACATAGGTTTCTTTGAACAACATGGTAAATATAGTAGTAGAAAAAACATTCAACAATTGGATAATCTAAAAGTGAACCCATTCCAGTTCTACAAATTGTAAAATATATTTAATTTTCTAACTGCTGATGTATTTTTGTATATAGGTATCTCCTATTATAATAATTTTATCAGACTTGAAAAATATTCCTGTGCTGCCTTTCCATTTGCCAAGACATGATTGTTTCATCCATGAAGTAAGTTTGCTCACTTGAAATAAAAAATACTGGGAGAAACATACCTTCACATAATCCTAAGAAACACTTTGGATTTTGAATTAAAAATGAATTAAATTTTACCAGAGTAAAGGATGGATTTATATACCTACATTATTTGTGAGCAGTCAGGTGCATGTGCTGGACTTGCAACAGATGTCTTGCTGTTTCCATTGGACACTCTTAAAACTCGAATGCAGAGCAGACAAGGTTTCAATGCTTCTGGAGGCTTCTGCAATATCTATGCTGGACTTGGACCTGCTGCTCTAGCTTCTGCTCCAGGAGGTTAAAAATCTCCTCTGAGTAGCCTATTTATATTGCAGCTGTAGAAATAGAGCATTTTGTATATCTTGCTATTGATTGTAATTTATTTGTATAGTAGATAGTACTGTGCTGATTTGATCAGTACAGTATTCTGATATTATGTCCAATCCCTAGTTTGTGATCATTATATAATTTAGATGCATTTTTTGAACCTGTACAGTGTAGAACCACTGTATGTGAAGTTAAAATATTAGCAAAAATTGCTTTAGCTCATTTCATGTTTATATTTCTGAAATTAGATCTTATTTTTCAGCTGCTCTGTTCTTCTGCTCATATGAGACAGTAAAAGCTCAGTTGGGTACGTCTTTGTCGCCACAATACCAACCATTGGTGCAGATGGTGGCTGCTGGAGTGGGTGAAATGGTGAGTATCAGAGATTTGTCAAGACTTGGCTTACTGAAGATAAACTTATCTCAATATTTTTAATTTAAATTCTTCAAAAATTTGGTTAGTCGGTTTGCTCTAATTGCTCTGAGATTTCTATGTATTGGAATTGAGTAACATTTATTTTATATCCTTGGGAACTCTGGGACAAGCATTGCAGTTTCAACCAATCAGAAGAAGATCCAATCAATATTGGAGCATACAATTTAAACAAAATGGCCAAAATTGTTAATGTGATTGTTGCAATAATTTCTTATGTATGATGGAATTTATCCCAAGTTATGATATACCTTGCATTCTATATATATTTCTTATTCGTTTAATTATTTAGAGAGTAATTAGAGATTTTATTTATTGGCCTCTGAACCATGAGACATGGATTATAAATTGATGTATAAATACATGATTAAATTATATTTTGATCTACCTCTATTTTAAAATTTGCCATTATAAAGTTGGCAGTCATCTCTTACTTTTTCTTCTTTCCTTTATGTTAAATAATCTCAGAGGTGCAACTTGAAAATTTTTCCTATTTATACGGTATCTGTTGTGATTTAATTACTCAGTACTTTTTATTAATTTGAACTAATTTTTTCAAAATTTATCATACAATTTTATATGAACTTTGAGATTGTGAGACTCCTATTTCTTACTAATTATATGAATATATTTGGGTTTAAAAAAATTTTGTGTGATGGCACTTTCTGAATTCATCTTATGTGGGTTTCAATATATATGTATCCACAATTGCAAACATAAAATGACTACCTATATGACTTTGTTGATTCATACATGTTTTAAATTGTTTGCATTTCTGCATATGCACAGTACCTGCCAACTCCTCATATAGAATTATAAATTTCATGAAAAGTGAACTTGTAGACAGTTGGGGTTTTTAGGGTATTGTGTTGTAAGGGGGGGCGTTTGGCCCCGGTAAGTTTAATATTTATATTAAAGATGTAAATGGTACAGCGGTGGACAAGACTGGCATGTATGGCTACTGAAGCCACCTGGGCACAGCTTAGGGAAATATTTTATAAAACACTGAAACCAGCATACAACCAACAAACCGTAGACAACTGCAGTTGGTGCAGAATGAAATGGGGTTAGTAGTGTTATGATGGTATGGAAGCAGCAAGGCACACTAGCAGGTGGAGCTTGCACTATAAAACACAGCAGAAATCTCGTGAAATCACCAGGCCCTCAGTCCTTGTTGCAACTAGCAAATCGCAAGTCCTAATCACTAAAATAAAAGAACTGGTTAACCAAGGTCACCCACACGGGCTGACATCACACAAGATACAAATGGCGAACGCATGGTCAGGCAATAAGATCAATTCCTAATTACCATCTAAAATTGATTGTTTTTACTAGAACATCACAATAAAAGCATATTTGCACTGGCACAATAATTCCGGACAATGTAACCATTAGTTACATTGAGCTAAAGTGTCCACCCAGTGGGCCAGCAAGTCCCTTCTCTGTGCGCTCCACTAAGGTTGAGCTTGAGGCAGGTTACTCAAAGGAAACACTGTTTTCTCAGTGCTCATCAACAGCCCACCACAAGAAGCAATCCAATTTCACTTGCTGCAATGGAGTCGTGGTGAAGGGTGCCCTTGGATTCAGTTTAATTCCCAGGTTTTTCTAGACTCAACTCTTGATGCCATATAAGTGAACAAAATGCGGGAATTGGCTTTAGTGCATGACAGGAGAGCAAACGACAGATATACAAGTATGTAAGATAATAAAATATAACACAGTAAATACATTGGCACACATGACACAATTATAAAATGTAATACAAATGGGTGAATATATAAAAGAGTGGGAACATTAAAATCAGGTTCAGGCAATTGCCACTACTCACCCATAAAGAGGCAAAAGCAGGCAGGCAATCAGCAAGCAGCAGGATCAGGCAAGGCATTTAGCAGCATCAAAGGTCCGGTAAACTTGCATCAAATCCATCAACCACGGCACAGCGGGATAAGCTTTTAAAAGGCTGTCACAAATACATGCACTGACTCAAAAGATCTGAGAGTGATTTACATTCATGAGTCTGGAAAGAGGACACAGGTGAGTGCAAAGAATGCATGGCGCAGCAAGCTGAATAATGGTACAAAAGTCACAACACTACAGTGTGATTGTAAATTGCAAATTTTGTACGTTTTCATTGCATGCATCTCCAGACAGCTTGTCTGATCCGCGTTCCTACCGAGATTGTGAAGCAGCGGCGTCAAGCGCAGCAGCATTCGTCAGCACTGCATATCGCACGGAGCACGCTTAAGCTGGAAGGTCCAGCTGGCCTCTACCGAGGCTACTTCACAACGCTAGCTCGTGAGATTCCCTTCTCTCTGATCCAGTTCCCTTTATGGGAAGGCCTCAAAGTGCTCTGGGCTACGAGACAAGGGAGACCCATTGAGTCATGGCAGGCAGCTGTGTGTGGCGCTTTTGCCGGTGAGACATAACCTTTTGTTCGTGATTTTTTCAAATTAATGCTTTGTTTTCTAGTGTTTAAATTTGTGAAATGAATGAAAGTTAAGCTTCTTCTCCTGCCAGGACTTGACTAGAGACGAATGTATTCAACATATAGACTTACTTCAAGATTCTTGTTTAGAAAGAAATTGTATTATATAAACATTATACAGGGTGATTCACAGATACTTTCTGTTTTATATTTCACGTCAAGTAGCCAGATGTTTTAGGGAAAAGGTGGGGAGTATTTCATATGAAAAGTAAGGTCATAAAGTTTTGTGTCCTACATAGTCAGTTGCCTAGGCTTTGGACAAGTAAGCAGCGTGCATTTGCTGTCAAGACATACCATTCTAATGGTCGTTCTATTATTGCTACTCTGTGAGCATTCCATACTCGGTTCCATATTCCTCCGTCAGGTCGGGTCCCTGAATGGAAATAGATTGTTTCGTGGCTTCTACCGATTTGGCTCTGTGTGATTTGTTATGGGGTTATCTTGGATCAATTGTTTACAATGACTGTCCAAGGAGCCTACCTCATTTGAAGAACAACATACACCAAGCCGCGGCCAACATACCCGTCAATGTGCTTCAGCAAGTTTAACAGAACTTCAAAAAAGACTAACTGAATGCATTGGCAATGGGGGCCATCATTTGTCTGACGTCATCTTTAGAACTAAGTGATACAAAAATTGAGGTAATGTCTTCTTCAATAAAAATTATATTGTAATGATATCTCTACTAATTCTTCTTTCATTGAGCCTTCAAATAAGGAATTTCCTGTGAATCACCCTGTACTCCTAGTCAAACTAGTAAGATAGATAGATAAATTTTGTGTGGTGCTATTCTCATTAGCGTGTTTACTAATTACTTCGTCTTCACTTTGGTGATGCCAATAATTGAATGTACATATTTCTTAATAATTACAAACCCTTGCTCTCCAACATCGTATCCACCTCTAACACTATAACTGGGAAATATAGTCCAAAGTTATTTAAAGGAATTTTGAGTACCTGTCAGAAAAAGGATATGAACATCACAAATTGTTCACTGCAGGGGGCATTTCGGCAGCTGTGACGACTCCTTTGGATGTAGCGAAGACCCGCATCATGCTTGCTGCCGCCGGCACTCCTCAGGCATCTGGCAAACTTCCGCTAGCGCTCAAACTTGTTGTATCTGAGTCCGGGATACCTGGGTAAGTATATAGTTTACACATCTAAATCTAAATAATATTACATCTGCCTCTTAGGCACATCTGTATCTAAATAAGTAATGATTTTATAGTTTTTTTTTATCAATTTGGTGAAATTGTGATTTTGGTGCTGTGAAATAGGTATTTCAAATATGCTTCAACTATCACCGGCCGACTGCAAACAATGGCCCTAAATGGTATTAAGATGTTATACTGTGAAATATAACAAATTTTATTATTATCATTTTATTATTAATAATAGATCATTGAGGGCAGATTTTATTGTGGTGTATGTTAACTGTCTTCTTTTTGTAGGCTGTTTGCATGTTCTGGACTGCCTAGTTTGAGCCTTCCAAGTGAGAATGTTAGGATGGACTACAGTGATTACAGTGTACCGCATCTCATTTGCATTGGTTGTGCAGGCTGTTTGCAGGCGTGGTGCCACGGACGCTATGGATGTCCATTGGAGGCTTCATATTTTTGGGCGTGTACGCTCAAGCGAGTGCCGTTCTTAGCCGCATCTCCAACACTCCTGAGGAGACCCAGGCACACGCAGTTAGATAACGATACGTGATTCGTATTGAATAGTAGGAGAAACAAATTTGCGACGTGTTGATATTGCGTATTGAGTTGTTTCAATAACGGGGTGCTGCTAGTATTCTTTTGCTGCTCAGTGACTGTTCGTCAGTAACGGATGTAGATAATTGTTAACCTGCAGGGATCTAGTCTCAATATAATATTAATTTCGAAAAATGTTGTAACATTTGTAACACTGCGCTAGTCTGAGTCTGGTTCTTTAATCTCTAATTTCAGTTTATAATTTAGGTACATGTTGGGAGATTGGCATTGTCGAAATTTTAAAAATTTGACCAAGAAAAATTGCCATTCAATTTATGAAAAAAAAATCGAATGTTAGGTTAATTTGATGTGGGATTGAAGATAATCTAAGTGTATATCTCGTTACAATTGATCACACTGTCTTCAGTATTTGCTTTTGGCAAAACTAAAGCAGTTTTGTACATAAATCCATTGTTTTCATATGCTCTCTCTGCACTGGACAAGATGTTTCATAAATTTTTGTACATTTTTGTAGTTTCTTCTCGTATTCCTAAGAGAACTGTTCTGGCAGCACATGATGAGATTCAGACATGCTCAGTTTCGTTCTATTTTCATACACAATCAAGTTTTTCTGTTTTTTTTTATTGATAAAATTTCGCCTTGTGTGTGCATTAATTTGCTATTTGATTACCATGATGAAGATGAAGGATTAGAGGATTTTTTCTGATGAATTGGAGATTTATTATTTTGCAAGTATTTTTTAGCTCCTGTGTTTGATACCTGACTGGAAAAATTATGGTTTATGTAAGCATTTTTGGGAATTTCTATTCGAAACATTGCTGATCATAAATCTCCACAAAATTACTTTCGATTGTAATTAAATTTATTTTATTTATGGCGAGTTCATTCCGCAGGGAGCAGGAGCCATGCCCTGCTGGGGTTCTTGTCACGCTAGCCTCCGGTCCCTGAGCGTGGTATATACAATATGCGGTCTCACTCGGAAAATGAATAATTAATGATTAATGATTCATGAAGATTATGTTTTCAATATTTTAGTCCCCAGTTGAATATTTGGTAAATTTTTTGTCAACGTGTCTACATTGCTGTTGCGTGAAATAACTAGGTCAAAATTTTTGCAATTATCCGTTCATTCACTCAGACTTTTCTGTATTTTCAAGTTACATCTTAGTTGATACATTATCTTAAAATGTTTATTCTTCGGGAATTTTTAAGCTGCGTTGCACGTGCAGATAATAATAGTTTCCATTTGATGTAAATTTATCAGATGTTTATGCTCATGATCCGGTCCTTTCAGCAGTAGTTACTTTTTTCTCAATGTTCCGTCTGTAAACATTCACATTTTGAAAGAGATTTAATCAATGTTCCAAAATTGCTCAGATAACGCAAATTTCACCATCGACTAGTTGAGATTCTGGACCCAAATGTGCACCACCTAATTAATTATAAAGATAACTAGAATTTTTGAGACTGCACTTGAGTGCTGAGAAACTAGACTTGAGTGCTGAGTGTTAAGTTGAAATTCAGGTTCACTATTTCATTTGTTCCGTAAAAGTTTGCATTAAAGTTCCAATTTATTTCGGCAAATCTAATTTTAAAAAATTTATATAATTCGATACATTTGTTATATAATGTTCCGTTGTGATTCTGCATTTGTGTGAAAATATTTATTTTTCCTCTTTTTCCAGAAAGCAATAGCATTAAAGTTTAAATTCGGTAAATTACGTTTATGTGTAACTCTGATCTTCAGATCTCATTACCGCGTTATTTTCTTGTTATTGCAAATAAATCATGGGATGCGATGGAGGTACCATCCCCAAACGGGACGAGCTCGTCAAAACCAAGCAAAAAGGCGAACAGGTAAGATTGTAGATTTAATCTTGTTAAAGGAGCTACCTATGCCAAATCCTCAATTCTTCTCGGGAATGTTTTTCTATTAAAATTTGGTGAGGTTTGGCTGTCATACATTTTATGAATATTATGATCACTTGCACGCGATCTGAAATTTTATGTCATATGGTTCATGTTTAACTATTTCCATCTTCAAAATTCGTATTTCAATAATTAAAGCCTAAATATTGAGCACTTGCCGCGTCGTTTTTGAGAAAGCCATACATAAATAATCATTAAATGCAATGAATTGAATAAAAGTCAGTCTATCACTGAGCCGATATACAAAGAGCGTTTTTTTTATAAAAGTTATTTTTAAATATTAACTTCTTAATTCTTAACTTAAGAATTCTTAATTCCTAATATTAATTTCATTTTATTATTGATTGAACAGGAGTACCTCGTGGGTGAGCGGACCTACAGATCAGTGCACAGTGCTTCCTCTTGATAAAATTTATTTTAAATATTTACATTGTTAATTGATGTGTAATTAATTTTCCCACCGGTTAAACAGAAAGACCTCGTGGGTGAGCGGACATACAGGTGGCGTCACTGCTCCGTATCACAGACGGCATTGCGGGCGCCTGTGGTGGCCTGCGAGCTCGGCAGGCTCTATAACAAGGACGAGGTCATCAAGCGACTCCTTGAGAAATCACAGGTGACCGAAATTTATTCCAACTCACTCGGTGGAATCCGAATGGTACGAGTTGTTTGCGCATTGAATAACGAAGGATTGTTCCTTAACTCTTCTACCTTAATAAGATCCTGAGTGAGATGTTATATAGGAGGTTTGGAACTGCATTAGGATACTCAATATTTCCAGACCTAGGCACTCGACAAGCTGTTACCTATCCAGAAACAGGTGATGGGAATGCCTCATACTTAACTAGCCTCGTGTAACAATTGACGTTGTGGGTAATCCGTCACGTTTTTTTCTGGTAACAGATCTCAAAATTTGAAGTTTTAAATTTGAAAATATTAGGACAAATCTCGACTTCAGTAATTAATCTTATAAGAAATCTATCAATTTTGCTCGCGCATGCAGAAGTCCTGTTACTTAAGGCTTGTAGTCAAAATGCAGCGCAAGTCTGAGAGCGAGGTTTTCGCGACCATCGTGTAAAATCCTTGATCTGCCCAAAGCTCGGCCAGTCGCTACCCTCGAGCTTGTACTCATTCTAATATGATATCCTAGCCAGACCCTTCTTCGCGGCAACTGGTCGCTTTCAAGTGGCCGAGGAATGGCCAGCGGTCGGCTATAACTAATTGGACTATGCCGACCACTAGCCACGTATCATTTCTCGCCCCTCATTGAGTTCGCCTTCACCACGCCGCCCGTCGTGAACTGACAGTTCACTAATTTACGACGTCTCTTTCCCCTCAAACATTGCACAACGTCTCCATTTGAGCAGCTAGTATGCGGGATTTTCCCTCTGTGTATCAGCAGACTCGATCATAACTATTTTTCGGTAGAAAATATCTACAACAAGGAGGCTGATCATGGAATGGCGAGTATACCATTCAATGGAGAATAAAAATTACAACCCGTTTACATCTCGAAAAAAGTAAAAAATTCGCAGACACGATGAACAATAATATTCAAAGTTTGTTGAAATTTCCTCTCATTAAAACTCTTTTAATGCAAAGTTTACATATTTTTTGTTACTGGTCGACGCTTATAAATAAATAAATGGGTAAGTATGGAAAAATCCATATCGCCATCTCATTTGCGAGTGGAGTAAAGTCTATCCTAATTAGTGAAGAAACGCATAGGGGAGAGCCCAGCCTGTTAGAAGCCTCTCGGGTCTCAATCAGGGCCTTAAGTCGTATACGCAGCCTGAAAGGCCAAAGAAAGAGCTGCGTTTGATTAATCTATATAATGTTGAACAAATTTCTATGCCTGTAAAAAATCATAGAATAAATCTATATGAGTGAAGTATCAAGTAAGCTCGTATGTGATTGTTTCAAATCGGAATAAACCTAGAACAGATTTCGATGTCCTTAAAACGTAACTCTGTGTGTAGTATCAAGTGTGGTTGTGTGTGCAGGAGTCTTGTAACATTAGTCACATCCGCGGCCTGAAGGACGTAAAGGAGCTGCGGTTGACCGCCAACCCCGCGTACGAAGGAGAGGAGCAGCAGCGCGGCGGCGAGACCGTCGAGGTCGGCCGAGCGCCGTGGATCTGCCCCGTGTCGGGCCTCGAGATGAACGGCAAGCACGGCTTCTGCTTCGCCTGGCGCTGCGGTTGTGTTGTGTCCAACAGGGCTGTCCGTGAGGTGTGTGTGCAGTTTAAGTTCACCTTTCGATTTTATAGTGTGTTTTTAATTCGATTTTATTGTGTGTTAAAAAATCTGGCTTTAATTTGCTCATTTACTTTTCAGTAATCTTGCTTTAATTTGCCCTATTACTACTCACGAGATTCGCAGCCTATTATCACTCGTTGGTATAAGTTACTTCTTACACAAATTATAACGTTTTAGATAGTTTCATTTTTGTCATTTCGAAGTAGGCATCATTATGGTTCTAGTGTTCATCTACGATGGTCGTCAGGAATTGGTCGGAAAAAATCGAATTTTTATAATTTGCTTGGCAATGAATTAGTCAAAATTCGACCAAATTAACTCCGAATTTTGTTCGATCTTTAACGCGACTAACCGGAGTCAAGCAAAACTACTAGACATTATTAATTCGTCGACAGTATGCATGTTTCATCAAGAATAGCGACGAATGACTCGATTTAGTTCCATCAAGAGAAGCTTCAAAAATATCTTTAAACAAATGCACATACTTATACACTATATAATAAACAAGGGTTAATCAAATAAGATTATGTTCTTTGACGTAATAATCTTAATCTTAACACGAAACAACGCCTCTACAGCTCTCACAAAAAATTGAAATACTGCGATTGATTAATTAAATTCGTTCAAAGGCCTTACAGCTTTTCTACATTAATTACAAATATAATATTTAAGGTCATGTTTTCCAGCTGAACACGGACGTGTGCTGCGCGTGCGGCATCGAGATTCAGGCCGATGACGTCATCATTCTCAACCCTGACGCCGATCAGCTGACAGAAGCTGCAGCCAAGATGGCTGAACGCAGGAAGAAGGCTAAGGAACCAAAAAAAGAAAAGAAAGATAAAAGGAAAGCTGAGAATGACTCTGCTGAGTGTACAAGTCAGGAGAAGAAACATAAAAGTGGTGAGTCATACAGTACTGAGAGATTTCCATCTTGTAAATATTATTATTTATTTAGTTTTCTGATGTTACAAGTGTTCATAGAGACGACCGGCGCCATTCATGGCGAATGGATAATTTGAGATATAATTGTATCATTATCAGGAGTCTGCCAGATTACAAATAAAAACTTGAGCAATGACAACAGAAATAACTGATGGCAGTGGCTAATTAAACGTTACTCGAGAGTTACATATATGACTTTGAATCATTGAGCAGGCAATATCTCGATTTTTTTTCTGTATGAATAATGATATATTGTGATGAATTATGCATATATTTATGAATATTGGTATGATGGAGTTGGAAAAATAGGCAAAATATAATAAATAGCAACATCATGCGGGTAAAAAAAACGATTATGTGAATGAGAAACTTTAGCGTAAACCTCGCCATGTATGAACACAGGCAGCGCAAACGAAGCAGGACCATCAGGCACCAGAAACGGACACCAGAAAGCAGGCAAGGCGGGAGTGAGCGTAAGTGGCCTGGCGTCTTCCATCCTACGCGACACGGAGTTCTCACACGTACGATCCAAGGAATACTCGGTCGCTAACAACCCTAAGCATTCCGAGGTCTACAAGAGCATATTTGACACACACAAGTCCGCGCAGAAGAAGCTCAAGTCTAATTGGGTGACGTGCAATCCGCAGTATTATTAAGACATACTTCCGGTGCTAATAAATTATCATATCTATATGGGAAATTTGACTTCATTTACACACTGCGGATAAGTTAGTAAAAATGGATTTCGTATATATTTACTACAACTTATAGTACATGCAAGGTTAATGGATGACAAAATGCAGTAGCGAAATTATATACACCTTGAATTTGTTCAAACGCTATTTCCAACTGAACGACCGTTTTCACTTCTAACGTTTGTACTAAATAATAAACATTTATCCATCATTGCATGTTTTCGTCTTAAGTGGCATTGTGCTGCATGGGCCGCTCAACATTTATCATTTTATGCGTCAATTAAACAGATTGGGCGACACTAGGCTTAATAGAACCGTTTTGGCTGAAGGTATCATCTTACTAACATCGTGGATTAAATCTAGTGGTAGATGGAAATTGTACTTTTACAACGAAACAAGAAAAATACATGTTAACATGACATTGATGCCTTGCGTTAATTTCGTTATTTATTACAATTATTTTCGTCAGCGATGTCTGTACAAGATCTCACATTTGACCAGCGTAGGGCTCAATCTTCCCAGCGTGATTTTCTCCTTTTTTTGTTCGCCTCGGCTTCTGTTTCTTTGGCTTTCTCGCGTTCGGCCATCTTGGCATAATGCGACCCCTCAGCAGTGCTCTGCCACGCTGGGTCAGCGCTGCTTGGAGTGAACTGAAACGAACGACGCATGCACATCTTCATTTCCAAACACTTATGCTGGGTATTCATTAATTAATTACTCATAGGCGCTTACATATGCTTAATTTTTTTTCGTCATCAATGTGTGAAGTGCAACTGTCCATGAATGGGTTGCATTATATTTAATCGTCAATAATAGAAAATTACAGAGACCAGTTACGGACTTGATTTAGTTCCATCATCGACCAAAAGGGGATAAATTCAACCTACCAATACAACAGCAAGACAATAATAAGACTAAGAAAAACTAGTAGTAAAGAGCATGAATGTCTACTCTCTGATTCTATATTCTTGTACAGTGCAACAAAATTATTAAATAGGTTACCGAGAGCTGCACTAATTCATGTATCGTAGGAACCAGAACAAACTAAGATTGGTTGTTATTCTAACCTGTGACTTGTACTGAGCTTCGAATGCAGCACGAAGAGCAGACAGGCGGTTAGTAGCAGGACCTGACGAGTCCGGGACGCCGCTATAAGCCTGGCCCGCGGGCCCCATGGCTTTGACCGCAGGGGAAGAGTAAGAGGAAGAGGAGGACCCGCTGTGGTCTTGTGACCCGAGCCCGGGGCGCTCCCTGAATCCCAGACCTCGTCCGCCTAGCTGCTTCGCTTTACCGCCTCTGAATCTGCAATTAACACGACAAATTTAACATCATAATAGCGCCAATTTAGTTAATTAAGTTTGTAAAATACTAGAATTGTGTGCATTCGTAACCTACACCTAGGTTTTAAACTACAATACAATTTAAATCCTCGTCATGAATCTATCCAACTATCCAACCGAGTCTGAGAGCATCGCGCGCCAGGCGCTCCACTTTGCGTTTGAACGTTGCCGAGAATAGCAACGTCTGACGGTCAGGACAAACGTAAAGATGGGTCATTATTCAAGCAACAATAAAAATTTGATATGACAAACGTTCTCCCAATTCAAATTGACCCGAAAAAGGCAACTCGCGACTGGGTAAAAAATTACTGACATGTTTTTTTTAGAACTACTGGCAGGTCAGCCTGAATATTACCGCAAAATTAAAATAAACGAACTCACCTGCTTTTCCTGAACCATTGAGAAGTCATAGCCAGATCAAGAAGTTCTTTGGTAACTTCTTGGTTCGCAGCCTCGAGGTTTCGTACGAGGTGACCGGCAAACTCCTTGTCTTTTTCGGTGATGAGCGTAAACGCGCGGCCCTTCTCCCCAGCGCGACCTGACGAGAATTGAAACGCGACGACTTTATTACATGCAAACAATTGCTGTTGCAGGGCGAGAACAAGTGGATCGTATCCATGCAATTATGAGACCGGACCGATTGGATGGAATTAGATGCAAATACGAAGCAACAACAAAGTAGTATAATTATTCATTTCACTTAGTAAGAATACGATATTCTTCTAAACAATTAAATCCAAATTAGTTACTTCGCACTTGGAATGTAAAATCAATCAACAAAATAGCGAAAACATTGATTCATAAATATTGACAACGGCGGCGGCACCGTTACCAACAAGCAATAAAAAACTCGCTGCGCGTCTAAATAAAAAATCGAGTTAACTGTATATTCTCGAGCCGAAAACGTATGATTTTATTATCTAATAATAAAAAAGTCTTTAGATTAAGAAAAAATTATTGTAAACGCACCGCATTAAGTAGAGTCCTTGTAGGAGAGGCGAGTTGATTTTTTGCAAAAGCTACTTACTTAAGCATTAGAGCTAACGAAAAAAAGCAAGTGCCATCGTTGTATTCTACTTCCACCAGTAGGAAATAGATTATTGAAACGGGTTTAAAATAATAATAGGAATGAAATTGTACTAAAACGAACATCGTCGATAATTACTGAATAAAATATATGCCATGTTATATCTGCTTCTAATACATTCTATAATTAGTATAAATATTACGGATATTAGTTTAACTGAAAAAATCCAAATTTCATATCTAGAGGATATTATATTCAATATTAAATATAAATTTTTAGGATACGAATCTTACTGAATAAAATGAACGTTTTATCCAGGTTATAGTACATATGTACTACAAATAGTATTAATTATTTGAATCTAACCTGTTCGTCCGATCCTGTGCGTGTGCGTGTCAATGTCGCGTGCCACATCATAGTTGACGACGGTACGGATGTGGGGAATGTCGAGACCGCGCGCCGCAACATCCGTCGCAACGAGCACCGGCGTCGTCGCCTTCTTGAACGCCGTGATCACGTCGTTACGTTCGTACTGAGACATGTCGCCGTGCAGCAACAGGCACTCAAACTCTGCAACGTCGTTATTTTATTAATACAATTATTCACTAGTGGATTATAGGGCATGTCGCCGTGCAGCATAAGGCACTCAAACTCTGCAACGTCGTTATTTTATTACTAAAATTATTCAATAGGGGATTATGGGGCATGTTGCCGTGCAGCATAAGGCACTCGAACTCTGCAACGTCGTTATTTTATTACTAAAATTATTCAATAGGGGATTATGGGGCATGTCGCCGTGCAGCATAAGGAACTCAAACTTTGCAACGTCGTTATATTATTAATAAAATTATTCAATAGGGGATTATGGGGCATGTTGCCGTGCAGCATAAGGCACTCAAACTCTGCAATTTGATCGCTATTATTTTAATGAAATTAAAGAGGAGTGTTTTATGGGACATGCCACCATGTAGCAACAGGCACTGCGACTGCGATTCGATCGCTATTATCATAACAAAATTAATTAGGAGTGTTTTATGGGACATGTCGCCGTGCAGCAACAGACACTCAAACTCTGCAACGTCGTTATTTTATTAATAAAATTATTCACTAGTGGATTATAGGACATATTACTCGAAGTCTGCGACATGGTCAATATTCACTAATAAAAATTTATCAGTAGTGGACAAATAGTTTCTTCGTTCAAACGTATTTGACATACAAAGCGGCAAGACAGTTGAAAGGAACCTGACCCCATGTACATATGAGGTCAGGTCGTATCATTGGCATGATCTCAGTTGTCATGTTTCACCAAGAAGCTTGATTTTCATGCATCACAAGCTTTTAAATAAAATGCATTCAATACTTCAGAAGATTGTTCTCGAGGCTCACCTTTGACTTTGAGGTTTTTGGCGAGCTCTTCGGCGTTGTCTTTGCGAGTGACGAAAATAAGCACCGAACCCGCCGCCATTAGGCTCACGAGGTGTCGTGTGAGCCACGACCACTTCTGGTCAGCGCGACTGAACACGTGTACGCTCTGCCGGACACGAGTCATAAATTAACACAGAAAATAAGAAATTACCTTACTAGACGTATTTTAACATTGATCAGAGCCTTCAAAATGAAGCTAACAAATAGGCTCGTCCTTATACCAAGAAAGTTTTTTTCCTGATAATTGTCCTAGCTTTAAAAATGTTGAAATGCAGCATATTTACTCAAACCACGGAGACAAAGAAAGAGCGGCATTGCGAGATTTGAACAGTATTAAGGTAAAAAATTATTGGGCATTAAAATTCATACTAAATGATGAGCCGGACAAAGCATGAGTCTGACAACACATTCAACCAGTCTAATTAAGGAAAAATCTTGGGTACAAATTAACAATTTTAGCATACATTGCCGGTGTGTTGCTAGTTTTCGATAATTTATACTATGAGCTCGTGGGTCGTGGGCATTGAGTGCCCAAGTAATACCTGTTCAATGTCCTGGTTGGCCTCGCCAAGCTCGCCCTGAACGATCCTGATGGGGTCGGTGAGAGCATCGCGTGCAAGACGCTCCACTTTGCGTTTGAACGTCGCAGAGAATAGCAACGTCTGGCGGTCAGGACGAACGTGGTCACAGATGCTTCGTACCTGCATATGTTAATAGTTTTATTTATTCTTGTTTTTGTAGTTTCCAATAGGAGCTAAAACAGGAAGTAAACTAAAAAAATGCTAAAACAGGAACTAAATTAAAAAACAAACAGCTAAACCAGGAACTAAATTATTATATTTCATGGAAGAACTTAGTCAATGGAAAGAGATTCGATGTTGGAAAGGTTTTTTATTTCATTACAAACCTTATCTCTGTAGACGAATCATTAACTAAATAATCAATAAGAGATATTTTTCACTCAGTTTCCTAAAAAATAAAGACAAGTTACTCACTTGCGGCTCAAAGCCCATGTCAAACATCCTGTCGGCCTCGTCGAGCACGAGGAAAGTGACGCGCGTCAAGTTGGTGGCCTTCATTTTGACCAAATCGATGATGCGTCCAGGGGTGGCAACCACGAGCTCAGCGCCCGCCTCCAGCGCCTTACTCTGCTCCCACTTGCTGCCGCCGCCGTACGCGCACACCACGTTGATGTTGTACACCTTGCCGAACCTGCACCATGGAATACAGGTTTTGGGGAACTGCAGTGCTACGTTGTTTAGCGATACAAGCTGAGATGGGGTGTTGTGATTCGATGATTCAGTAATACAAGCAATCTTGCCATGGGAAATCTAGCCAAACCTGCAGCACAAATTGAGAAAACATACTCGTTGGCACTAGAGCAAAAATATGAGCATGTAATAAAAACTATAACTCGTTCCAGTCTATTAGAAGAAGAACTAATACGCGCGTAACTACCACTGTTGATACAACTATTAATTGTAGGAAAAGGTAATACAAAACAAAGAACTGTGCTGCAAGAATGCAGTAAATAAAATAAAATGAGTGACTTTTTAGCTTCGACGTGTATTTGCTGCGCCAGTTCCCTGGTGGGTGCGAGGATGAGGCCGATGGGGCCGTCGCCTGGGGCCAGCTCAGGCTGGTCCATGATGTGAATCAAGAGTGGCCATAGAAATGCTGCTGTCTTACCACTGCCCGTCTTGGCGATACCTGAACAAAGATTAGTTGACGAGTAGATAAGGTAAATGGAACATAATTAAGGTGGCACGTATTATGAGCAGTAATACCAGTACATTTGAGTGACATTGTAACTTCTGAGGAAAAGCACTGTCGACGGGCAGCAATACATGTAGATAAATTAAAAAATGAGTAACATGACTTCTAATCCAAATACTTAAGTTTATATAATATTAGGGACTGCTCTCATGAATATCCGTCCCATTTTCAGATTATTTCATGAATATCCATCCCATTTTAAAGAAACCTTGCACATCTCACAAAACTAAAATTATTTTCTAGTTATTTTCATTGCTTAAAATCTGACCGATTATGTCACGACCACTGAGAGCTACAGGAACAGCCTGAGCTTGGATAGGAGTAGGTTGACTGTACTCAGACTTGCGTACAGACTTCAGCAGCGCCTCGTCAAACCCAAAGTGACCAAAACTGGAAACAGGTTTTGAAGCAGCAAAACCTGTAACCTGTACAAAAAAAATAAATAAATAAATAAAGAGGTGCTTGAAGTAACTGGTGGAAAAATTGCAATGTAAATATATTATTCGATATATCTTAATGACACAAGATCATGGAAGGTTATAAAATACTCTAAAATCAACTAATTCCCATATAAATAAAATTGTTAGGATTGAATTTCAGTTTAGTTACATTTTCTACAATTTAACTCAAGTTTCAGACATTGAGGTATTTCAAATAAAATATCAGTATTGAAACTCTTATAACTGACAAAAATAGTGAATTGTTTCCATAACGCACAGTAATATTAATTGGAAAAATCAAAGGAATATGAATTAAAAAGGGTGAACTCTCTCTAGCACTCACAGTGATGCCAAGCTTCCGTCTGAGATCAGTAACCTGTGCATTATCAAGGGCAGCAATTTCTTCATGCTCTTGGTAGAAGTTTTTAGTGAAGTCAGGATAATTCACTGTTGAGTGGTCAATGGGAGGGAGAGGATCAATCACTTTAGATTTCCGTGTGACAATAGGATTCCCCTCGGCATCATACTCCACTTCCTCCTCACTATCATCTCCATGTCTGCAACACAATACAAATTTTCACACATATAGAATATCAACACAGTGATATGGTTGCATCAAAAAAATTAACTGCTGAAATTTATATAAAATGTGTTTGTTTTTAAAAAAAAATCTTCCAATAAAATTGATAAGTCAAACATTGTGCAAGGCTTTCTTTTCACAGATTTTTAGTGAATAATTCAATCATAAGTGACCAAATTGACAAGCCAGACATGGCTCTAAAATCACAATCTTTCAAGTATTTATTCTTCATTCTGATCTTACATAAATGATGGTCAATTCATATCACTTGCCAGCAATAGGATTCTCCTCAATATATCTGTAATACGACTATATATTCAGCAATACTAATCACTCACTTGCCAGCATTAGGGTTCTCCTCAATATATCTGTAATAAGATTCTTCATCATCCTCTTCATCTATGTCCTGCCGCACCCCCTTGGATTCAAGAGCTGAGCTGCTGCCACTATCCTTGGCAGCAAGGTCAGCATTGGCAGCTGTGCGTCTATCTTCACGTTTGACCTGAAATAAAAAGGTGACATTAAAATAACATAGTATTACAACTGTGACTTATCCATAACTTTTAAATACACAAAAATTATTAATTGATAGAAATTAATAACAATAATGTATAGTAGTTAACCACATACAAAATTTCAAGAAATTAGGAATAGGATAGAAATAAAGCAGCAAATAAGCATTAAATATTTGTGTTCCATCATAATTTTTCTATATCAGTATTATAATAATGTTGCTGAATTAAAATTTATTTGTGATAAATAAGAAATAAATGCAATTGATTAATTTTTAAAGAATACTATATACCTTGATAAATGGATCATCCTTAGAAAATCCTTCAAAATTTATTGAAAATATTTAAATAAATTAACACTCAAGGTTGGAGGCAATTATTACATTATTATTGTAAATCATAGCTGACTTATTAGTCCATGAAAGAGCTTGATGCTCTTGCATTAATTTAATGAAACAAACATCAAACCTAATTTACATTTACCCAATTGCATCACAGCATTGAAGATAGCAAAATAAATTACGTAAACAATCTTGGATTAAGAAAAACTCACTTGCTGTTCAATGCCAACCATGAAGGCATCAAGAGGGTCTTCTTCAGAGTCTGAATTGCCTTTGCAAGCAGCAGGTCCTGGGGAGCCTGGGGCAGGCTGGTAGGGCAACTCTGCATCCAAATCATTTTTAGCTCCTTCATCTTCTTCTGCAAAATATCTGAGGAGAACAATTGATAACCTAAAATTTCAACTACATACCTATGATTTATGAGTGTACGAATGTTTGAATAAAAATTTCAACTTTCTTTATGGACAACATCAGATCAAAAAATAACAATCATCAGACACATATATAAAGTCTCAAAGACATAAATAAAGTAGTTTTTGCCATAATTTACTAATTTTCTACAGTGTGGTTCACACAGAGTCAGACTGCAGAATAAATACTATCAGGTTAAGATATTGACACTTTTCTAAGCTACCCATCAACATCAAGCCATTTCGACCTAAATTTGACATCCATCTTTAATTGCAGGAGTAATCTCAAATGATCAATCAATCAATAGACACTAAGTGAATTGGTACTTGCCACACATTTTAATTTGGGATCTATCAACTGCATTGATGGTAATGTGTACAAAGTACATATCAATGCTTTACCATTGACCATAATAGAAAAAAAAAATAACTCAGTACTCATTGCAGTGAGTGACAGAGTGCATTTTCTCATCGACAAAAATGTGAAGTCATGGACGGACAGACAGACGGACGGACATGGCAGGCACAATAGCACCTTTTTTTATAAATAAGAAAATTCGCTAATCAGGCAGAAGCATCCATAAATGACACAAAAACACCAGTGACCAGTATGCCTGAGCAGGTGGGCAATTTCAACCAATCCTGTTATCCAAAGTCACATATTTTTATAAACGTTAAATCATTCAGCAGGAACCACATGACTAAAAAAATGGCAGGGAAGTTTCAGTTGTGGTAAGTAGTTCAGTCCATAAGTAAGGTAAGTTCAGTCCATAAGTAGTTGCATTGAAATCCTGTCTGTGGCCTTTCTTTTGTAAAAATTAAGAAAAAACCTATTTGCTCATCAAGTTTGAAAATTATTTTTCAAACTATTTTTTACCGTAATCCAGGCCTGAATTATAGGATAGTGCATAAAGTTTCTGTCATTTTTTGGCAGACACATGCCCCTTTTCCAATGTGATTGACTGCAATATCATCCTATCCAGACTGTGATTGGTTGTGTGATGGCCTTTCCAATATGATGTGTGTTTTGAATAATTAAATGCCCCTCTAGAATTCCCAACTGCTGTACATAATCTACCAAATATTTCAGATAGGCCATTGGCAATTCCATCAAATGGGGTAATAAGGGACTGGCAGGTTAAATCAGGACAGTCCATCATGGCATAAAATGTTATATAGCAGCAATTCCAGCAAACCTAATTGAAATATTGCAAAACTAAAAATAGTCGTGTAAGCTTCAACATTTTTTCTATTTATGTAGCATAAAGGAAATTCAGAAATCATACATTTACTAGTTCTACAATAGAACTTTAAAAAAATGTTTAAACTATATTTTGGACAAGTACCCCTTGCTAGGGTCTGTAGTAAAAAAAAATTTGCAACATTAAAAATTTATCTTTATTGATGGAATTTGCATCCCTTGGTGGCCATTAATATTCTGTGAAACAAAATGTGGGCTATTTCCACAAGACAGAGCATCCTACCTTCCTTCCTGACTTAGCTACTGTTACTGGGAAACTAGTCTGGAAAAGTCCTATTTTTGTCTGAAATATCGCGGCTCTAATATCATATAATTTCAGTAGGTATGAAATCTCGCGGCTCGAATGTCATAAATTTTTGTTTGATTAAAAAATCGCGGTTTGCACTTCGCAAACATGTCATTTCATAAAATTTTCAACTTCCGCAATCCGCATTGCTTTACCGTTTCCGCCAAAAATATCTTGCAGATAAAACATAAACATTGTAATGTAAACAAATAAACAAAACGTTTGTTGAAGATCGCGCATAGTTGCAGTCATGTCAAAGCGGTCAGACTGTATATTAACACGTGCTGAACGTACAGTAGAGACAAATTTTATCGTTGCCGTTTGACTGTTTAAGGGTAAAATTAGAGATTTGGGGTAACACGTGCATAAACTTTGTAAATAAATTTGCATTCGCACCTCGTAAATGACTTTTCATGGCCGAGATATGGAATTCACGGCTCGGTGAAATAGAATCACGGCTTGTAGAAATGGAATCACGGCGGGCAAATCCATAAAACCACTGCTCGAAAAATTCAGTCGCGGCTCGCCAAGTAGATATATTCCATACTAGCTGGGAAATTGGAAAGAGACCATCTGAGAACAAGATAAAAATATCCATTTGCACATGGGCAACTTAACTTACTTAAGCCATATGGCTATATGATCTATGGTACTTGCCTAATTTCTGCAGAAATTAGGCAAGTGCAATTTTTCATAAGTGCAAATTAGGCAAGTTTTGCAATTGTGCAAAAATATTTTTGTAGGCAATTTTTGAAAATCATCTGTGAAAGGATCATTTTACATGCCATCATTTTTACCTGATAGCCTGATAGGCTGATTCCACCATGGAAAATTGTGCCTGGTTTTCTGGATTGGCCTAACTTAGCCTCTTTGTAGTTAGGAGCACTGAATGTGGCAATACAACAGTGGCATTCTCTAATTTCTACCTGTAACCTGTGCTGTCATCAATCATCATGTCATACTAATTCATAGTGCCACTATGAATTAGTGGCAAAGCCACTATGATAGTGGCAAAGTCAAACCAGTGATTTTTTTTTTACCAGTTTTTATTTTTCTCAATTTACTCAAGATTTAAACCAATATCTTATGCATGATGATGCAGATTAGCCAGATATCCATGATAGCCTTCTCTGCTGTTCTACTTATAGGACTTAAAATTGAACTTGAAGTAGTCTAAAAAATCTCTCTTCTTTGCCAATTGCCACTAGGGCTATGTCTAACAGTCTGAGACTCTGAGTTGTGTCATATCTGACCTTACTCCTTACACAGTTACACTACAGCCTGAACTTGAATATCAGAAGTTAAAATTGCTTACTACAAATACTTACTCATCTTCAGTCTTTGGCCTCTTCCGGACTTGCCCATAACCATATGCACCTCCATGCATAGCATTGTTTGTGATAGAAGTAAGAGTGTGATAACCATGCTTGCTGAGGCTAGCACTTGGAGGTGGAGGTGCAATTTCAGGACGCTTGACTTTGAAACTTCCAAACCCAAAGCCACGGCCTCGATTGAAACTCATTGTGTGTTATATACGTTTCAAACTATTTCAGAAGGTAAACTTATAAAATTTACTATAATGACTAGAAATGATCTACGGCGTTGTCACGGTTCGAGTTAACAGCTAATTGAATCCATAGTAGTAACAGAACGAATAAATATCAAGTACCCATGGGCCATGTGACCCGAGAGTTGATACCAAATAGCTAAGCGATTATCGGCAATAGGTATTCTTACGATTGCTGAGCAGCTGAGAGCTGACTGAGGTACTTTCGATTGTAACTTGTAAGTGTAAGCGCTGCGCTATCAACTTGAAAATTCTAACACTCTTCAATATGAAACTATAATGAAAGTATTAGAAAATCAAAATCTCACGAGCTACAAGCTTTCATTAAGCTTAATAGATTGTTGTATTTTTTTAATGCGCCGTACGCCGTATCATAGCACAGGCTTTACAGCCTTTAGCACTGCGGCTATACTTACTGGATCGCAAACACATTCAACGAAAACTTGCAATTGTGGCCACCTCTGACAGGTCTCTGGCTCTCTGGGAACCAACTTTTGAATGTCTTGAGAAAATATTAATTTTTTCTGGATCGCTTATATTTGGAAAAATGACTTTGAAGTGAATCAATTATTGGTAATTCAGACTACAACGCGCGAAAAAAATAATATTTTCAAACATATATTGCATTAACTTTAGCGCAGCTTGAGGATAAATGCCGATTTTGAAAAGGATGTTATAATATCAAGGAAATGATGCTTTATAAATCTTAAACCTGGTGTCTTGTATTGCGTGACTATTACTTATTCGTTACTTGAAGCTATCCGAAAAATCTAAAGATTTTGTTTCAACCATGCAAATAAACAGGGTGCGTACTGGTATTTAGACAAAAATTCCATGACTCTCTATGACCATCAATATAATTTTCCAAGACTCGTATACAACATCGTTAGCATGACTGAAAGACTAACCGTGCATATTCTATCATCTCCTACAGTTGATAAATAGCAAATGTGAAATGTGTAAATGCATAGAGCAGGCAGACACGGGGGAACAAAATCAACCCCATACTGGTATTATTATAGAATAGAAGTGTCGGCATTGAAGAAATAGGCCCAGGGCCTGTTGCCGATTCTTGAACTTTTCGTGACTTGATTCACAAGGGATCCGGCTTTTGGAACCCTATCTTTCCATAACTGAAGGTTAGTTGAGATAGCTTCTGGACTTATTGCCTAGTCCGTAAGTTGCTAGGCATTTTAAAACAGAACATATGCTTCTACATAGTTTCGTCTAGTCTGTTCTTGAAAGCGTTCATACTCAGAGCGTCAACGATGCCATCAGGGAGGCTGTTCCACATGTCGGTGACTCGAAGCGAGAAGAAATGTTGTCGCATGGATGTGTTACAACACATTTTTTTAGTTTATAGCCGTGGCCCCTGGTGTTGGTTCTTGTTTCAAATTTTAGTGAATTATGATTATTATTAAGATTATGAATTCAATTGTGCCAAATCACGAGAAATATTGAGTAATGCACACAAGATACTACATGATAATGTCAATACAGTTCACACCACTACCATAACACCTAACATTAAACTGGCAGCTATTTCATCAACTTTTTCTTTAATGTTCAGTTTCAGAGTGTCTAGCTTTGTTGTCAAAGCTTGCCTCATGGCGTTGAACTGTGCGATAATTTTCAAATCCTCCTTTCTCTCCATTGCTTCTGCATATTCATCTGCTGCTTGCTCAAGCGCCTTGATGCCCTCCTCCGTACGCCTTTTCTTCTTCTTCAGTTCATCTAGCTCATCCAACAAAGCCTTCCTCTTCTGGGTTTTCTCGGTCTTTGCATTCTGCTCTTTCTCTTCGGCCAAATAAGTATTGTCGGCTGTTTTGGCACTGCCAGCTGCAAGCAGCATCTTCTTGATGATGGTCATTTTGCCCAGGCTACCAACATGTGCAACATGATCAACCACAGCACGTAGGGCAACCACTGTTTGTTCTTTCATGTTGCGTGTCATAATTTCCTTTTTGAACGAAACCCCTCTTTCAACCGTGGCTTGGCCATGGCCCATAAGACAGGAGCATGAGCATCTGTACTACATTCCAGAGCTTCATGGCATGCCAAAAAGTGTCCAGCCAATCAGAAGTTGAATATGCTTGTAACTGTGCGTTCAGTTCACTGCGATGTTGTGATTCATCTCTATAGTTGCACATCTCATCACACAACACCATCCTCATCTGTGTTAGGTAATCTCTTGGCATTAACAAGCAAAGTGAGATAGTTCTTCAACTGTGTCTTGTCGGCTTCCTCACAGTCCTTCTTGATGAAGGGCAGGGTGGCCCAGTGGTTACAGTTCAGTGTACCAGGATTGGAGCAGAGAGGCGCGGGTTCGATCCCAGCTCTGTGTGCCAGTTTCTGGTCAGAATCGGCGAGGTGGCCGGGCGGTTAAGCAAAGCAAAATTGAAGCAGTAAGATGCGAGTTCGAGACCGCAACAAGCTGTGGATGTTCTGCGATGTTAAGAATCGGCGTCAGGCCTACGGCCTAATAAACGCTGAAACCGCTATTATATTATGAATACTTTTGGCACCAGCCATCTCAGGTTCCTACCAAGGCCATACCTGATTGGGCTCTTGTCCAGTAGCTTTTGGACCACAGCCTGCATGAAGTCCCACGCTCGTGTCTTGAAAGTGAGAACTTGCAGTGCACTTGCCTTCTTGTCTGTAAGCTATATTTTTATTGCAGTCCTGGCCATATAACCAACATCAACCTTATAGAGGGAAATCAAAACGCCTTTTGTTCCATGACTTTCCATGACCTGAAATGAAATCCAATGACTTTCCAGGCCTGGAAAATGAAAAATCAAATTCCATGACTTCCAGGTTTTCCATGACCAGTACGCACCCTGATAATAACTTTGGATATGCTTCGTAGAGCAAATAAATAAACCAGGACATATTCGAAAATCGGAAGCAATGCACATTTTTATTACTAAAACCATTTCATTATCGACATAATAGAACCTATTGAAACTTACAGACACCTAATTAAATTCTAGGCTAAAAACACGAACATTTGACTAATCTAGTTGCAAGTGCAACGTTCATTCTCAGACGGAAGGTTGTCGGGTGAACGCACAATATTTCCTACAAGCATCCAATAGTTAGACGATATCCAAAGAATGCCCTACTGTTCACTGCAACAATATGTGAACAAATTTCATAGTTTTCAAATAGGACGATCAGGCACAGAGTCGTGGGATCTATCCCAGTTACCTACAACAGTTCTGGTCAAAATCAGTGAGGTGGCCAGGCGATTGCGTACAGCAAAATAGAGCAGTGGGTTGTGTGTTCGAGACTCGCAGCAAGCTGTGAATGTTCGGCGGCGTTAAAAATCGGCGACAGCTCTAACGGCTTAATTAACGCTAACATCGCTAATACATCATCTTATATTTTTCACATCTTGCTGCAGTATAGCGCAGTAGAGTGACGAAAACTGATAAGTTCAGATGAACGCATTTAAATTTCATTTTGCGATGAAAGTTATAGATATAAGACGTGGATTATATTGACGCACAAGCCTGAGAGTCCTGTCGCTAACATGTCAATGATGTTGGCTTGAAGTGAATAGCATTTTTGCCTTATTCGAAATGATTCGGATAAGAAAAAAGGTTGATGGAGCTGAAGATAAAAGGTATATACATTCTCCTCACAACCTTCGATCGTTCGAATGACGTGTTTAACACTTGCACAGTAAGACCGAGCCAAATTTACATAGATCTATAAATCTAACAAGTAAAACACAAAATAAGAAATATTCGGAAGAAAAATTATATTGTTTTTAATAAATATTAAAGAATTTCGGTATGGAAACGTTCGCTTCTTATTCCGTCATTGGTTATTCATAAAACTTATATCATAAACATGCGTTCGACAGCGATAAAAAAACATTTATTTCAAAATTTACGCAACGAAATGGAACAGGTAACATTCTACGTAGTCTACAAATAATGATTAACGATATTCCTGAATCTCCAGGAACCAAAAATATAATCAAACGGAATGAGAACTTACGAAGCTCATTTTGCAATAGAATTATGGTCAGTAAGAGATATTTATTTAATTTCTAAGAATAGATTTGGACGAATGTAAGCAAGGGATGGTCACTCGGAGAGCGAGACATTCTTCGACTAAACTACGAACTCTACAAACGCGAGAAATTGACATGTAGACTTTTTCCCTCATACGCTGTCGAACTTTTTTTTCAGCGCAACTAGAGTAGAAATTAAAATGACCTGCAATGAGTTTTGTATGTAATTGTGATACGTACGCACGCAAATACCACCGTGGTCATGGTAATAGGATTCACCTGCCTTAAACAATTATCAAAGATGTAATAAATTATCAATTTACAAGATCTTATTTTATTATAGAAGAAACGAGGTAATTTCTGAGGTAGAGGATCAAGTGTAACACTACATTAGAGTTAACTGCATCAGATATTATCCGTCAAAGATGTTAATATGAAAGTTTTACCTTTTAAAGACAAGTTTCTTCTAAAAGATCAGAATTTTTCCACGGGGCCGTACTATAGAAACTCGCTTACGTACGCGTAGCGGCCTAAGTAAACGTAGCGGCCAATTTCTCGTCAGTAATTGGCTGATGAAGTTACAAACTTTAATTTATTTTTGCATGCACGGCCCCAAATTCGTACACCGAACGTTTTCAATTTCATGCGCTAAAGTCGCGGTTAAGAAAGCAGCGTCAGAAACTTACATCACACAAGCTACGGCAGCAACTCGTACAAATACTGCCTCATTTATGTACACGTATTTATACACGAATAAGTTTTACACTTCTTATTATAAGACATTGAAGATTATCTAAATTACCTTAAAGTAAACATAAAGATATATTATCTAAATGCCCAGTTTGTCTGCTTTCAGTGGACGCTGCACAGACCACAGGAAATATGGGCTAAAATATCCTGCTCAAAGCTATTGTTGGAAACTTTTATATTAACTATAGATAATATTCACTACGTAAAAGATGCAGATGCACTACATAAAAGAGGATTATTGCCGTTATTATTGACAGTCCAGCGCGATGTAAATGTGTAGGAATACCACAAAGAAACTGAGAAGTAATAGTTCCCGAGGAGGAGTTTCAAGCGATGAATAAATGTTGAATTCTCTGGGAATGTTTCTGATACCACAAACAATTTTATTTCGTTTCTGCAGGAAGGAGTATCCTGATCATCGAAATTTCCAGCAATGATGCGCAAGTAACAAAACCTACGCTACGCAACAGAAGTTAGTTTCTGGTCATGCTTGGCTTCGGTCAACTGTGTCATCATTGAAGAAACTGGGTAGCGAAAAAGACATCGCACTGCAACTAATAAGCGGAAAATGCGCGCTTGCGTGGTATATTTTAAAGTTCTTGAACACGGAACAGTAGTGGCGACCAGTGCAACTTTCCAAGTCTAACCGCCACAAATTTTCATGTTTTTGGGCCTCATATTAAGGGTTACTGGATCCTTCCGTAGTCAGTACCTCTCCTGTACACGAGGCCAATAGCACGGTAAATAGTGGCGGTTAGCAATTTAGATTTGCAGTGGCCGTCAATATAATTCTCGACTCGCGATAGTGGCAGAGGCAGACAGACATACGGTATGATGCCACACGTTTGATGGTGCAAGATAACCATTCGTCCATGGCATCACCAGCACCACTGATGATGTCAAGATCGATGTTTACACCAGAGAGTCGGTTTTGTGCCGATGATTAAATTGTAAATATACTGGACAGTTTTGTTATTGTCAAGGGAATCTAAAAGCAGAAACTGACCATATCTCATAATCTTAAAACTACACAATCGTACGACCCTAAAACTAACATAGATTTTTATAAATATCTTATAAAAGCATACTATATATATTTGCTTCCTAGGAAGGAAAACCGTTTCCCCGACATGAATACGGCGCAACGTATTCATGTCAACGTATTCTATTCATGTCACTTGTGGCGTCAGTTCGCTGAATATGAATCGTTAAGATCAGTGAAGCAGATGATGAATTTCAGGAATTTCCCGGGATTGAAAGTGATGGTAAACAAATATTTTTGATTCCTCACACAAATAATTTAGTATGATTGTAAGTACAAATGTGATCTTCAATATTCCTGCGCGGTAATCGGAATCGACCTCATTTTCATTATAATTCAGCGTCTCCATTTTCATTACCTATATTAACCAATGACGGCCCACGGATGTTTTCTTGTCACAACGTGTAATGCGTACATGATCATTTCAGTGACATCGCCAAAAAGGCTTCATAATTTCAAATTTCAACTCATTATATTTTTTCACGAGCAGAACGAAAATATACCGGTAATCTAAAATGAACTTTTACGAAAACATTTTGGGGAGCTATAGTCATTTAAAATCATGAACGCTCCATAATTCGAAGCTAGTTTTAAATGAGTTTCTTCACAAGGTCATCCAGCGGCCCCGCCACCATCCCATTCCCATCTGAGGACGATATTTGCTGGTGTGCTGGTGCGCGTTCTCTGCAGGTGTGATTTCATCGCGTAGGTTCATGAAATACGAGTCGGTGCAGGTCTAACCCTTATTAGCAGGTCTAACCCTTATTAGCAGGTCTAACCCTTATTAGCAGGTCTAACCCTTATTAGCAGGTCTAACCCTTATTAGCAGGTCTAACCATTATTCAGGTCTGGGTTGTTTTATCCCTTTACTTGCAGGTTTACGGGCCATTACTTGCAGGTGTGCAGGTCGACCTGCCTGGTGCAGGTCTTACACTCAACATAGCAGCACCAGTGGAACCTGCAGTGACATCGCTCCTTGAGTGTGACGCGCTGTGCGTTGTAGCCGCGGCCACAGCACAGCAGCCCGCACCCGTCCATATCCTGCGACGTCCTGTTGCACGGCCGACCCGTCGTGCCTGCGGGACATGGGACACGTCAGGCACGGGGTGAATGAGGCACGGGGTCAGTGCGGCACGGGGTAAGTGAGGCACGGGACAAGTGAGGTACGGGACAAGTGAGGCACGGGGTAAGTGAGGCACGGGACAAGTGAGGCACGGGACAAGTGAGGCACGGGGTAAGTGAGGCACGGGGTAAGTGAGGCACGGGGTCAGTGAGGCACGGGGTAAGTGAGGCACGGGGTAAGTGAGGCACGGG